TATAGGATCATGACCTCCTCTGCCTCTTGTGCATTGCTCCATCGTAGCTTCCCCTGTAGTCACTGCTGCTGGCGTCGTGGGATCCGCTAGATCCTCTCCTTTTCTCGCGTGTTTTCTCCTCATATCCCGTCATAGGGGGAGTCACGGCGGCTCCCTCCTGTCCAGCAACAGAACGTAGCTTGATCTTTTGGCCCCGGGCTGCGACGAGCTTCCCACCCCAGCTCCCCCAAATGTCGAGCCTGAGGAGTTCCTCTTTCTCTTCATCTCCCTTTTCTCTCCCCTGCGACGGCGCCTCTCTTCTTTCTCTCTAAGTCGCGCTTCGACCTCTGCTGATATGTCCTCTGTTTCCACGCGACGGGTAGTGGAAGCTGCATACGCATTCTCCCAATCACCAGCCTCACCGCGACCGGATGAGAGGCGCTTCTTCCGTTTGCTAGCGGGTCCAGTTGTCGTAGTGAGTTCGCCGTCCCCTTCACCCATCTCATCATAATCCAAGAAACGCCTTTTGCCCCTTTTCAGGTGATGTGGGAGGGATATTTGGGCAGGTTGCTTGTCAAATACAAAGGGTGGCGGCGGTGCCCCAGCTGCATCTTCTCCAGAAAGGCAAGTTGGAATATATTCGCCTTGCGCACTGGATGGCGTGGGCAGAGGACCATATGCAGAAGGGTCCGCATTTCTATTCATCGCCCTCAGTTCGTTAACTCTGTTTATGGGTTTCCCAGAGATGATTCTACTTGCTGCGTGCTGCGGCATCTATTTCGCGTATCAGTCCGTGCGTATCACATGTGATCGCTGGCAGGCATAGGAGGCTTACAAATTCAGTCCGCATGTCCTCCAGCTGTCTCAACAGCTCCTGTGTTCGATCTACCATGGACGAGAGGGCGCGGGACGTGGGACTGTCGGTGAGAACATGTTGTTTTACCATCCCACATATCTTGAGATGATTGTTCAGGTTCAGTTCATGCTGCGAAAATAACTAACAGAAAACAAAAACGCAAAGCAAATGGCATTGGATTAGCAAAGCATATCCCCACGACCCTTTTTCGTTGAGTGGATTCGACGGCAGAGCACGCTTAGCTTAGCCTCACCTCTAGCCACGACACAGATTCAGCCCTAACCTCAAGGGGCTGTGGTTTGGTCATTTTACTGCCTGTGGGCCGCCAACATAGAATTATTTGATTTCTGGTAAGTTTCTAGCTGGTATGAAGATGCTGCCGGTGGTGTTTGTTGACGGAAAATCCAGTATGATTCACAGTTGAGGTTGAAGCTAAGGCCCGCGCCAGCCAATCAGTTGGTCAAAGCTTCGAAATCCCCTAGCAACGGCTGTGGCGTGTTTAGTTCCACACTAAACCAACAAAGCATCCTGCAGGCACCGTGGGCCGCTGGCTGGAAATCAACTTCGACGCCCGACGCCCGATGGCCGGATCTAAATGGAATGGACCGCGGGTGGGATCTATGGCTAATCATCCAGCCTAGATGAGATGATGGAGGACTAATAGATCGCGATCGCTATCCTTTCGCACCGTCGGTTTGCATCACAAAACAGCCTTTGAACAGACTACAATTTCGTTCAATTGCCGGCAGGTCGAGTTACTGGAATAGACCAATGGAAATAAATGGGATCTTTGGAGGTGATCTGAGAGAAGGCTCATTAGCTCTTTCAATCTAGTTTCTGGTAGTATCCAATGTGTCGTCAATTTGATTATCTTGCTACCGTTGCGACGATGAGCACGCCAATGACGTCAGATATATTTAACATCATCCGCTCTAGCCTGTACATATCCCAACATACATGTCATCCGTTGTTTTTCCGCAGTCGCAAACAGAGGACATTCAGGTTTGAACTACGGATTTAATTCAAAATTATACTAGAGCTAGGGCAGCTTTATCAGAAGTTGGCAGCTTATTTTGAATCCTATTAGAGAACATATCTGTGTCCAGTCTGCAGGAGATTGTAGAAGAGAGCATAAGGAAATGAGTATAGAGAAGAGAAACACTAAATTTAGTTAGGGACCACGGAAGAAGAAATCTAATTGAACTCTAATTCATACATACTTCACGCAGGCACAAAACGGTAGGGTATCTGGGTAAGAAGATACTTGACAGGAATCGGTGACCTATGTTATATCAAACTATCCATTTGGTATTTTGGGGTATGGCATAGCCGCTGCGCACATCGCGACAGCAGAATGAAACAAAAACAGTAAAGATAAAAAAAGGGATAAAAGGAGAAAAAGATGAAAATGACGTCATGGATGGATTGAGCAACTAATAGAGGAGGAAGGTGAACATAACAGCAGGAGAATAAAAATCGCCACTTAGCCCGGACTAGAGAGGATGCAAAAGAAATAGGTAACATATTAGATAGAAATAAATAAACAATGCAAAAGGGTCTCTCATCGTACAAGGCACACGGAAAGCGCATACAGCAGTGGACCATATAAACAACGGGGCAGAAGAAGCGGCCGGAAAAGTAGACCCATTTCAAAACCCTCCAATGTGTAAAAATCCAGTATAATTCTGCCCCAATGCACGCGCCAGCACATAATCAAGACAGCATTAAATAAAGCTTGTTATCCATCCATACACCCTGACACCACACCCTCACCACGCCCCCAAGTCATGATCAAACCTCGATAGTTCCTTCTCAGCATCCTCCACATCCTTCTTCGCCTTCATACGCATGTAGAAGATCGGGCAATCCCTACTCGAGCAGATGACCTCGCAATGCAAACTGCCCTGGCACCGCTGGCACTGCGTCCATAGACGCCCAAACCGCACCTCCAGGTCGGACGCCTTCGTTAGCGTCTTGGTGTACAGCTCACCGAGCCGGGGACGACAATTTTCGCAAACGGCCCCATCACTCCCATCCTTGCTTACCAGGGGCTTCTTGCAACCCATGCAGGTCTGCATTTTCTTCGTGAATTTCATCAGACCACCGAGCGTCGGAGCTGCCACGGAAATGGATCGTGTGTGCTCGCCGGTAAGCAGCTGGCCAGCCTTCTTCTCGCCAAGGATAGGCTCGAAGATACGTGTGAGGGGTTTGGCGAGCTGGTTGTCAAGATAGTATTTTGTGTCTATTGGGATATTGTTTTCGAGGACGTAGATTGGATCTTCTGATTTTTCATAGTTCTTCGATCCTCCGGCGCCTTTGACGATGACATACGCGACTCGATCGCCGAGGGTGGGGGCAGAGCCGGCATCACGCTTCTTCATTCGCTCGGCGAGTTCCACGTGGGCCTGCTTGGCTGTATAATCTTTCTTGGAAAGCGCCTTTGTGATCACGAGTTTAGACATGTCGATTTTGTTTTGCAGGAGGTCGGAGATCGTGTTTTTAACGTAGCTGTTTTGAGAAAAACCCCTGGGTTAGTAAAAATAAAAATTACAGTCAGGGAAATAAGATAAATGGTCATACTTTTGGGCGCCATCAACGTCCCGTTCGATCAGGATTTTCTTCAGAACAGTTTCGATAACCGTCTGTACCATACGACAGTTATCTCTGCGGACGGTTTCAATACCCTTCGTATCCATTTTATCATACTTCTCCGGCTTCGTCCAGTAGAGACCTGCGTACCGTTTCTTGTTGATAAGGAGGTATGGGAAATACACTTTCTCGAACTCTAGCTTGATCGGACGAATAAACTTGTCTGAGACATAATCAGCAGCCTCCTGGCCAAGCTTCATTGCTTCTGCAAGATCTTTCGTCCCAAATTTGACCATGACAGAGTCCGTATCGCCATAGACAACCTGGGCATCGTTAGAATACCCGTTGGCAATGGTGTATTTAGCTTCCACTTCTTCTTTTGTTTTCTCGATCATCTGACGGCCATAACTTGTCGTGCTACTGGCAATGGGCAAACACGGCAATTTACCAACAGTAGCACCGGTAAGACCGTATACACTGTTAGCACTGACTTTTAGAGCAAGCTGTCTTCCGTTTAAGACAGCCTTTTTAAATGGGTCTGTTTCCACTGCAAGTTCCTTTTTTGCACGCTTTCTGGCGCCAAGGAGTTCTTCCAATATCTGCGTCAGAAGACCTTTGCGAACTTTTGCTGTACAGAACCGATCCCCGTTTGGAGTTACGATATAGTCTTCACCTTCCTTCATCCCATGCGCTTCGATAGTCGACTTTTTTAGAAGGGTGGTATAGCATAAATTATGAGCTTGAATAATACTGGGGTACAGGGACGCAAAATCGAGAGTTGCGATTGGCACATCGTAGTACGCTCTGAGAGGTTCAATAACCGTGGCTCCTTCATATTGTTCACTTGTTGCCTCATTCCGTAGATTTGGAATAACCAGTTGTTGTTCGAGAGCCTTACGGAACAATTGACTGATGAATTTGACTTGCTGTCCACGGGAAAGAAGGAAATTGAAAGGGACACCAGTAACCCTCGCCATTTCGGTATAGTTGACGAGACACATAAGTTTATCCATAAGACGTTGAGGTAAATAAGCATCCTTCAGACAGTAGACCGCTAACCTTCGCCTCGAATCAGCAGTCCCGTTGAAAAGTTCTGTGATCATTGTGTGATGGACATCCTCCTTTTGCTCTCCCAAAAACTGCGCACATACGGAATTTAGAGTGTAGCTCCGAAGTTGATGGTCCCGCTGAACAAGTTGGAGAAGATCGAGCTGGATTCTACCACTAATATTAGTAGATTTGGATTCGCGGTTACCTATTTGCTTGCTGGAGAACCTGGCATCGCCGACACGTGAAGCGACCTGTGTCAGTCTTGACCAGAATGGAAACTCTCTACATTTGAGATGTTCTGCCCGCTTAATGAGGTACGGGAAATCGAAGTTAGCAATATTGTATCCGATGATAACGTCCGGGTCAACCTCCACCAAGAACTCTTTCCAAGCCATTAGCATTCTTTCTTCGGTGTCGAATTCCAAAATTTGGGTATTCACGATAAGGCTACACGTGTCCAAGACAAACACATTTCGAACAAAAGGTTTTGATTCCCCATAGCGTGTAACAACATTCGCAATTTGGATTACCGGGTCCTGGTTCGCTTCAGGAAACACACCCTTTCGACCCGCGCATTCAATATCGAACGAAAGGATTCGGAGCGGTGCCATTTTTGCCCATTCACCATCGTTAGGATGGGCGATGAGGTCACGATAGTGTATAGAAGCCTCTATTTGACAGTTGGAAACACGTTCAGTTAAAGGGAGAAGCTCGTATTTGGAAGCTGGGGCCTCAACCCAAGACATGCCAGAGATCTTGAAAATCAGTCAGACAGAGCATATGGAATATTGGTGAGATCACAGGCTCAGTAAGGAAGTACTTACACCTGTATCGATCATAAATCGTAAAATATACTCGATATTATCAAACGTTAAAATTCCATCAACATCGCCCCTCCACATGCCTTTATAATTCGCCGCACCATTTTCAATCGTAGTTCGGAGCTTATTAATATGTCGCGGGTCCGTTACTGTGATTTTTAGGTAGGGACTTTTCTGATTTCCCTGAAATCCAAAAAGGTTTTCTCTCATTACCATCTGTACTGAATGTATTGCTGGCTGGTGGAATTCGAGTTGTGCCTCAAGATAAGCCTTGAAACCCTCACAGTCGGTTGGCACAAATGAAACGGGGGCAGCGACGTAGAGATAGTGTAAGAAATGAGTAACATGTAAGAGAACCGAATGGCCATTCTAGTATAGCAAGAGACAGCCTGGTCAGAATAAAAATTATATAGTTAAATACTCATACTAGAAGTTTTCCGGCTGCATACCTCTGTAACCCCGAATAGCTTCACAGCAGTCCTACCCCCTGCAAGTGTACCCTCCTCCGCTTCAATTTGCTGAAAGCAAAGTACGTCTCGAGATGCATCGAAGTCATCTAAACTTGGTCGTGCCCACTGCTGGTCTTTTTCCGCATTGCTTTCTTTGAGTCCCGAGATGTCTTGAGTCAACTTCTCCAAGACATCCTCCTCAAACTGACTTTTATGCTGCGATTGACGAGGTCCCGACGAGAAAAGTTTTCGATTGCCAAGTTGCGATGACAAGTTAATGCCACTTGGAGGATGGTCGATTTCCAGCTTCCGCTTCTTTACAGTATAGGGAGTCTTAGGCAGAACATTCTGGTGATTGATAGTAACATCGCCGAGGACTCTCTTTTGCAGTGGTTTCAGCATCGTCGAAGTCATTGTGATTGTTGTTCATAAATTGCAGCTATCCCCAAAATCAGCGACATATGGACTTTGCGGACCTATGTCGGTTTTGTTGGCAAATGTTGGCTGAAATGTTGATTCCCGACAACGCGTGTCGGTTGCTAAATCATTTAACACGCCAAAGATTTACGTGACGTCGGATACAATTTAAGGCGACGCCAATTTACGCGTGGGTTTATCACGTGACTGGAATTTTTGGGCAAGGGTTAGAGCGTTTTATTTAATATAAGGCACCTCACATGGACAAAACAAAATAAGAATCTTTCTACTCCGTAATTTCTCCGGAAAGCTCTATTGAGTATTATGAAATTATGATTAAACATATGTTATAGATGGTATTTTACATCCAAAACGGTGCGGAATATGCAAGCAGAAACCAGCAGACTCAAAGCGGTGTCTAACCAGAACACGCGCTTTCTTTCCAACATCGACCAGAAGAATGCATCTTGATCGTATGTGATAAGACCCATACAGAGGCTACTATCCATCGGGGAAGCAAAAGTAGCGCACCTCCTAATTCAGAACGTTACAAGGATAATGAATAGCCATCGCAAATGAGCCAAAGTGGTGCACATACATCTGGGTGATTACGCATAAAAGTAGCAAAAAGGCCCGTCAACTGTGCTCATGACCTCGCTCATAGTCAACGGCGGTGCAAGTGGTCCCAAGTCGATGATATCATGTAAAGTCCCATTTCGTGTGGGAGGGATGTTGGCGAACGTAAGAGTTCCCCACATCGCATCGCGTCGCTCTTTGATATCCAGCCACTGCCATATCGACCAGAGGCGGTCAATTTGGCCGTGGTGAAGGAAGAATGCTGGCTCTTGAGGGCTAGAATAAAAGTCGGTATCTAGAAGGGAGGCATAAAAGTTAGTTCTTTCAAGACATTGTAATAGCTTGGTAAATAACTTCAACGAAAGAGACGGGGATCGGAAGTGGTATTGAAGTTTGGCTGGCAATACATACGCTGTCCAGTCATCCCACCCAGAAAAGTATGACCGCCCCCATGTACCCCAAAGTAATTCAGTGGCTCACCGTTAGGGCTTTCGTTCTCTGGTGTCCCGGCGAGTCGCGATTGGAATCCGACAATGTCTCTGCTCGCTTCGACGGTCCACGTTGACCAATTGAAAGCGGTGAACTGCTGGCCTATGTAAGAGTTCATGTCACGTTGCAGACATCTGGGATTGTGTCTCAATGGATCATCTAATCGCCCCCCAGCCATAGCGACTGGACCTAGATTGGTGGTCAGGTCAGAAAAGGGGCCAGACTGTACACAACCTCCTCCAAGTCCGGCAGGGAACTCGCGGCCGTTTGCTGGTGGCAGTGGCGGGGGAGGAGGGAGTTTGAAAGTTGGCGCCCTGTTTTCCAAAGGAGCACCATCGCTTCCCATACTATAAGGCGAACCGTCAAAGACGGGAGATTTATGTGGATCATGGACATCGTATCCCCATTCCCAATAGCTTTTTTGGGGGTTAAAACGTCAGTATATGTCTCTGACAAGCTGCAGGCTAAACTAAATAGGGCAGACCATACGGGCTAACTCCCTGATATCCACATTGATCTTTGAGCGCCTTCTCGTATGCATGGACGAAGTACCGGTGCCAGGCGAGGAAGTTGAACTAGAAATTATTAGCGGTTGAAGCCACGTGCGGGGACATGGGTAGATCGGAAGAAACATGCATTGCCATGAATGTTTTGCGTTTTATTAATGTGCACAGCAGCAAAGGAGTCGAAAAGGTTTTTGGAACCTGGAGCTTCTTTCTCGGTAAATAACGACGGTTTGGACTGAAGGCAGTACACGGCGTCGATATAATTCCGTCTTTCCGCCTTTGACAAAAACCGCCTATGGAAGAAAATTAGGACAGACAGTTAATGTGATACGGATATGTCATAAAGGCATTGGATCAACTCACCACTCTTTTCGAATGGTTAAATTTTTCGTCGTGCACGCGGGTTGACTTTTACCCCCATTATCATCGCCCTTATCACAACCATCATCGCCACCACCACCATCCTTACAGACAACCGCATTATCCTTCTGTCGAGGCTTTAGACGCTGGTCAAGCGCCTCCTTGAGATTGTATCCTGCCTCATCTTGCAACTGTAGCAGACGTAGTCCTTTATCAATGAAATCTTGGTTGTTTCTGTCATGTGTTTTAGGGCCTCCTAATGCCCCAACTATCGAAAACTTGCAGACGGCAATGAAAGTCACCAGAAGGTATTTCATCTTGATGGGGCAATCAAAAATGAAACTATCCAGGAAAATAGGTGCTAGAGGTTTAGCTTAAATCTAATAACAACTGTTTGGGCGTGGGCATCGATAAATAGAAAGAGACATACTGTGAAAATAGATAACGACAGTGGGATTGGGAATACAAAACTAAAAGGAAAACAAACAGAGACAGATATGGATTTATAAATATAAATATAAATATCAACAGCGTTGGACGAGCCTCTTGGCCTATACACAGGAAAAGGGGTACGTTTGTCAGCTTAAAGCAGATACCAATCAACGATTTAAGGAGAGAATATAGTGCAGGAATGTTTCAAAACAATTGGCCCATATCGATTGTGAATACTTGGAGCAGGTTTCCATAAGAAAAAGTGTGTCGACACAGAGCCTCTGCGGATCTGGATCTGTCTGCACCTTCTTTGGACGATGCGATGCTGCCAATGGAACACAGAGCGCCGATCGGACTCAACGATGACAGACATGGATGGGCGATGCAGTCAAACAACGTCTGACGAGACTGTGGGTATTGACTGGAAGGGGTATCTATAGACAGTTGAATCCGGCTTCATGGAGATAAATTGGACACAATACCAACTCAATGCATAAGGAGATGTCACCGATTGTGACTGTGGACTCCTTCAATGTCTGACATACACAGGAAACTCTAGTCCAATTACAAGGCTTCAATCGCATAACATAGGGGCATAGATGCTTCGATTTTGGATTGAGATCAAAACACACAGTTCACTCACGAAATCGCCGTGAAACTGCAAAGAAATGAACTTTTAACACCATTCTTTCGCAGAGGGAACACCAAAATTCTGAGATGATCGGAGATTCGGAACAGACGAAACTCGAGAAAGGAAGAATGCTTGATTGGAGAGAGAGAAACCTTGGAAATGAATGTTACACAGCGACGGGTGACAGTAGACCTCACGTAATCCTATGGGAATTTCCAAGGTTGCGGTGTACAGGGAGCGGATACCGACCTGGAAGAAGAGAAATTAAACACTGGAAGGTCTTAACAGAAGAAAGTCACAGCTTGGAATTGAAAGTGATTCACACTGTATGCTGTACAAGCAACGAAGTGAGAAGAACTGGATCTGGTGGGCTCCCATTCATACTCGAGGGGTGAGGTCATAATTGCCAGGAGATCAAAACCACAACGTGGTGTTTTACCTCAAGGTAAACATGTATTCACCTTGACAAAGGTGTAATAAACATAAAACTCCAAAATAAAAAGCTGGTGAAACAGCAATTCTGCATTCTTAACAAAGTGGACCAAACACCGGGAATGGCAACTGAGCCCAATGTACGGCTGATGAGAAAATCACCAAGGATACCCCATATTTTGCGCACTTCATATGAATTCAGAATTGAGCCATAACTGAAGCTCCGCTAGCTAAAAGGTGGAGCCAAAGCTGAAACAACTCGGGTTGTCAACTTCAGGGAGGTCTGTCATCCAATTGCTAGGTAGAAATTTGAACGTCAGTTGTACTATCACCAACTCAACAGCGTCCGCCACTCGTTTCCGAATCCAAATTTATACCTCAAGTCTACCTTATCAGGTAGTCACTAAAACCGATTTGAGAAGATGTGAGATGAGCGACCCGATGTCTGGTTTGCTAGTGTCACGACAGATTGGGTGAGACACCAAATAAGAGCGAACGGGGATCGCTATTGAGATCCAAATAGCAAGCAAGGGCTGGCGCTTTTCTGATATGCGCCCCTGAAATCTCGATCAATTGCGGCACCTTTAAAAGTCTCACCTGGATTTCCAGGACCAACTTGCCTTCGATATAACATTCCTTCGAATAATCTAAATTACCTAGAGGCACTGCTCATGACGGCGAATGCAGCGGTCCGATTCAAAACAGAGGTATGCCACACCTTATATCCATGAGGAGCGGCATCAGAGACACTTTTGCTTTCAAGTCAACCTGATGAAAGACATTATTGTTTCCCATTCATGTAGGTTGGCAGTATGTTTCCTGAAAAAGCACAAGTCAGATACCTAGGCAAACTGTTTGGGTAATAAAAAAATCCTTATTGTTCGATTCCGTTGTGCGTTGATTTTTCATATGGGTTAATTTGGTTGAATGGTCCCCTTCTCAGAAAACCCTTTGACTCCCCTCCGTGTCTGAGATTCGGAAAATCATGGGAAGTCGAAAATGTGTAAAACTTTGCATATTTATGTCTTGATCAAGTCTTTAAGAAGGAAAGTCAGATAACCCAAATTTGGAGTTAGCCGAGACAGCATAAAAAGAAAGACTTTACATGTCCACCAAACAAGCATCAATGGTGTATGTGTCTCTAGACCACGGCCACCACGTCACTTAATATTCTACACAACGCAGGTATGATGGGTGTATCCGAGCCGTTGAGACTTTGCTTTGCTTCACACCAGCTAATTCAATCTTTACCAGGCGACTAGAGTCTGGCCCATTCACTTACTGCCAGCCATCCACTCCCTCTTGCTTTTAAAAGCCCATGGATCTTTTCCAGCATCTCCATATCATGGAGCCATTCGCTGTTTCATGTCTTTCACATGCTGTGAACATCCGAACATCCAAATAGTCCAATGTTGGCCATTAGATATCTTCAGCGCCGCGATTATTCGAAGAGCGTGAAAGCATGTAGTGCTTGTAGGTCAACGATCCCGCAGGGACTACCCAGTAAAGTAGCTGCATTAAGATGATGCCACACGAGAATTCCCATTGAACAAAAGTGAGTCCACATTTTGGCTCCTGCTTCGTCCTCGGATCTAACAAGTTGCCATATGGGCTGTCGTGGAGATCCATGAGGACTGTCGGATCCATCGATCGCGGAACTCAGACAAACTGACGAACCCGAGGAGAGGGAAGTTGGACGATGGTAAACATTTCAAAGTCTATTGACATCAGTAATAACATGTAAGTATCAGATCCATAAACGCAAGGTCACGGAAATTTGCTACTCACCACTTCTCGTGAGCTTCATAAGTTGACAATAGAGGGCAGCCTCCAACAAAAAGAGGTTGCCGTTCAAGCCCATAATAAATCCCGGTGACATACAAAGGTGCTCATTCTCGTTCTCACAAAAAGACACCTGCGATCATTCAAACCGTTGTTCACATCTCTCCCTTTTGGCTCTTATAACAGCTCTTTCATGATCTTATGTAAGGTTTACATGTGACTGATGATGGAAACGCCAATAAGAAGCTGGCGGACATTTTTAGTATGTATTTTAAGGTACCAGACCAGCAACGTAAATACATGGAAATACCAGAGGATACTTTCTAACCGTGCCACGCGCACTCACCATTAGTGAGTGCGTCCCACCGTAAAGAAAATATCACTGTAATGAAAATCTCTTTCTTGTATATTCATCACCAATCTTCAAAAATTAATAACCACCACCACCATGCCTAATAATATTAAACATTCGGAAGATCAGATTCAGATGGCATTAGACACCATAAAATCAAATCCAAATTTAAAAATCACGGATGTGGCGCGAGAATTCAAAATTCCATATGGAACTCTGTATGGTGTCAGGGCTTCAATCTAGGCGCAGGTGAAACAGATGTTCGATTGCCAGCTAGGTAAGCTATCTAGACGAAATACTAAGATGATTCCTAAGAGATGGGTTCGGGGAAGGCTCTGTTTATATAGCCCTTTTCCTTAGCGCCAGTTCCCACGTTTTACGTGTTATTCGTATGCGGGGTAATTGTGGGGTTGGTTGCTATGCCAATGCCTAGGCAGTTGTGATTACCGATCGCCTCGGCCCGTGGCCTTACGCTGTCGAGGAGGCTGGACGGGGCCCGCCCGTTCTACGCCATCACATATGGACGCGTTAAGGGAAAGAGATCAAGGAATATGAGGACTCCAATCAATTGAACATTGAGTGACAGTCAGGAGGAAGTGATCAAGAAGTGGATTCATCAATTGGATGAAGTGAATTCATCAATTGGATAAAAACTTTTGCTCTCCTACAGTTGAACATATTGAAGCTACTGCAAATTGAATGCTGAGTTGTTATCATATCAATCCTGACACTCCTCCTACTGCGGGCAAGATGTGGGTGTATCAATTCATCAAACATCTACCAGGTTATAAGAGGATCAAGCAGAAACCTATGAATCCAAAACAGGTGTCAAATAAGGATATAAGCTTTGTTATCAACTGGTTTGACTACTATGAATCTGTCTTCAATCAGTATAAGTTTCATATCAGTGATATTTATAATTTCAATGAGACTGGGTTTCAAGAAGGAGAAGAGTGTGGACAATAGACTATAACTACCCATCAAGATGTCAATTCTGTCATACAATCATCATATTCTCACAGGTTAATAACAGTGGTGGAATACATTAGTGCAGATGATATAGTGTTGAAGTCATTGATTATAATGAAATCAAAAATTTTTCTAGAAAATTAATATATATATTTCAATTTTCCTGATGATTATGCCATCATTATATCTGAAACTGGTTTCACTAATGATGAGATTGAATTTGAATAGATAAAGTATTTTAATACTACTACTAAAAAACATTAGATCATCAATTATTACTGCTTGACAATCATAAATCTCATCTTATTGAAAAGTTTTTTCAATATTGTGACTTTCATAATATCATTGTATATAAATTCTTATCTCATATAAGTCATCTTGCAATCTCTTGATAGTGTGCTTTTCCAGCAATATAAGTATTATTATACAAAAGTGATTAATGAGGCTGCTCAATACAGATATGAACAATATAATAGCAGGCAATTCCTTGCTAATCTAGAGAGTATCTGTTATCAAATCTTCAAATTTACTATTATTTGAGCTGGATTTGCTGATCATGAGATCTATCTAATCAAACAAGAAGTAATCTTTCAATACATGAGACAACATAATATAGATAACAGCTCAAAGCTACTTGTTTATGATGATGATGATGATAAAGAATGTTATAGTTTTACTTCTATAAGGGGCTGAACCCCTAGATTTGCTCTGGCTGGCTG